GAGGGGATAAATGTGGGAGGTGGGGTGGGGGCATAAAGAGAAGACGGGGGTGAGGCAGTTGCTTGTGGCAGCAGAGAGACGAATGAACGAGCGGCGGCGCGACTGTCACAAGCAGAGAGTCAGTTCCTCTCTCTGTCTCCCTCTCTTGGTCTGTCTATTCCTCGGTTTCTGTCTCTCTCCCTCACTCACTTCCTCCCTCACATTCAGCGTCCGCGTGTCACTCCTCTTCCTATCTCTCTCTCTCACACACGTTACCTCCTTCGCAGAGTGTGAAGAGTGAGTGTGAGAGAGAGTGACTCAAACTGTGCACTTTTCGTGGTTAACTTGTGCCGCATATTCGGACGCGGTTTGATGGCATGCCTGACTGTGAACAAAGCCCTATCGCAAGGGATCATCTCGAAAGTGCGTCCGTTTTACTCAGATTCATTCGGCAAATTGAAATCTACAAGAGCTCAGCGCCTGCGAGACTCGGGGTAGGCCATCCCGTAGTGCACGTATGCAACTGCATGCAAAATGTTGCCTGCCTACCAGGCGTTATGAGAGCTCGCAGAGGCTGAACTTGGCAGGTTCGTCACGGCGAATGAAGGACGTACTTTATAGGTAAACCCTACGCTTCCTTGAAGTTTTAAGTTCGATCGCCACTGCAACCACCTGCACACACCTGGGCCGCTGGGGTAGCCCTAATAACTAGTCGCCTGAACCATCTGGGTAAGCATACACCCAGTCACCTAGGCCACCAAGGGCAACTCTACCTAGTCGCCTGGGCAGCCTGGGCACGGCAGCGAGCAATATATGGGGTCTTCAACGTGACTTCTGAGCAAAGATGTATTTTTGTCAAATTTGTCACATATTTATCAATTTTCCGAAAGATTTAATATACAATTTCAATGGAATTTTCTTTATGAAATTTTACTTCTTTGGCGCAGACTAAATTTAATCAGAAGACCCTATAAATTGTGTCGTACAAATCAAAGGTATTTCTATTAACCTCTTTTTTTAAATTTCCTGAAACTAACAGACTAGAAAACTAAGAGAAAAGGCTTTGAAGAAGAGTTTGACTTCTCTGGCGCAGTCCGGACAGCATATGTCTCTTACACGTTCTTCTCCCCGGGGCGCCCTGGAGGTGAGCGATGCACCCTGAAAGTCTCTCTGCGGGACTCTCTCGCCCGTCTCCTTTCACCCCCGTTCATTTGACCGATTTGTCCGGCTCCGGCCGCGATAAGTTAAGATCGTCCGATTGGCGTGTTGCTGGGCGCGTGTAAGGGATGGGCCCGATTAGGACGAGGGGTCTCGGCCCGGCTCCGCTCCATCGGGGCGCACTCCAGCGACCATCAGCGCCGGGGCCCCCGGGCCCCGCGGGCCGCCGCGGCCCCGGCCGGACGGTCCCAACTCGGCGCTGCGGGCTCCACTCTGGCGGGGAACACGACCGAGAACACGACCGCCGGGCCCTTTCACCGCGTGCATACTACGTCCGGGGCGTGCAGCTTTTACCTCTGTCTCTGTATCCTCCGCTCACCCCATCGGATACAGGAGGGCAGGCGGCGACCGGCGCGGTCAGTGAGGGATCCGAGCAGCAAATACCAGCAGCAGGTCCATTGGTCTCGTTCGGCCGCTCTGCCACTGGCAACGGCGACAGCGGTGGAAAAAGGCGAGGAGCAGGAGGGAGAAAAAAAGGAGAGAAAAGGATTGCAGGCGTTCCGTTCTGTGTGTCTGGGACAGTGTTTTCCGAGAACGAGAGAGAGAAAGAGAGAGAAAGACATTGTGTGTGTGTGAGAGAGAGAGAGAGAGAGAGAGAGAGAGAGAGAGAGAGA